AGACTCCGGTCAGTCAAAATGACTATTTTGAACTGTAGGCAAAGTGGACGCTGATAGGTGCGGGTTTCTGAGTAAACAGAAAGTGATGAAAAGGGTGTCCCAGTCCGGGATAATGCTCTCCAGTAATAGACTACCACCTACATTGTAGTTAAGACCAATGCAGGAAATGGTGTCTTACCTTGCCTAAGGGTTCTGCCCAGCCAGATTTGAGTGCCGGTCGTTAATTAATATTCATGAGGTCATTAATATTCATGAGCTAATTAATATTCATTTTTCCCATTCTACTAGCTACGATTTAACTACTTTAATTATTTTACCTTTTATTTTAAATGTTTCAATGAAAAATTAATCTGATTTGATAAAAGTGAAAAAATATACCGTACTTATCCGGGTAAAGCCCATGCCTGGGCAAACGCCCACCCCCACTTATGACACAATAAAGAAGTTGAGGTCATATCCTGGTACACGCCAAAAAAAAAAAATAACAGATGATTTTCTTGAAGTATGCCGTAATACTTATAAAATTGTTAATTGCGTAAAACAAGGGGTGAACGCAAAATAGCTGTAACAGCTTTCTACCTTCAGGGCAGCACAGTCACTACTGATTTTTTAAAGCAAATATTGCACTCGTTCGGCTTTAGATGAAACCAATGTTGCAATATTGTAGCAACCCGTACCTGGGAGAGTGGTTGAAATCACGTTATTTTGTTTTTATAAAATATTTTGTAGCAGCTTGCGAATCCATAACTGGGGCCAGCATAAGCTGCAGTTCTGTAGCTCACTTGGTTTCGCTGTCGGCTATTTTGTTGGAGTGGTGAACATGAAACCATGGAGCTACAGTTCCATCGTATGCAAGTTACCCTATTTTACCAAACTGAAATCAGGTCAGTTTTATTAGGGGCCCAAGCCTGTAGGGCGTGGCCCCTATTCTTATTGTTCGGTTTTTCTTCATCTTCTTCTTTCTTTCTTCCGTAACTTTTTTCGTCAAGCCGTTTGAGAAAACCGCTGAACGGAATGGTCTGATATGCTCTATACTGATAGTCCCTAATGTGAACTGGTGCACAT